TATATAATGTATATATATAAACTCTGTATTGAACACAATAACCTCACTAAAGTTATTATCATATTATTGTTTACCACTTTTGTTTATTACAATAAACATGCACAAATCTTGTATAATGCTAATGTTCTATCATATATTTACATATTTACAATCACTGGACATGTTTTTAGAACTGCTGGAGCTTGTGGAACTCCTTGAAACAAGGCACCATGCACAGAGGTACCTTACATTCCTCACACATAAACCGAGTGTTTTTGCGTCTTTGTTGCCGTCGTTTTGTTTGTGCACAAACAATGCATCTCTTCTGAGCAAATTTCTTCTTAGTTGCAGGAAGCTGTATTTTGAAATGATCACCTTCCCTCCTCAAACGCTTGGGTATATTTTGAGGAGTTCGAGGACCTTGTTGTATAGGAGGTGTTGTTACCTGGTACTTCATTATGAGTTGTGTGACAACAGACAAACAAAATTCACCATACGGTGGTCTGTTGCCAGTCTTCATTTGGTACATATTATATGCATTGAGCATTGAAATGTCCATGAGATGGAAGAAAAGTTTCATGTACCACTTGTAACTCTTACGAACACAGTCAACAAAGCCAATCTGCATGTCACATTTGTCAACCAAGCGTATGTTTTGTATATAATCAATCACTGTCGCTGGTTTTCGAATATGTTCATTAGTCATTCTATCAACTTTGCCACTGTCTTGCATTTCGTTACGGTGAATGGTTTTCAACAATGTGACATCTCTTTTGTCATGCCACCGTAATGCCATGATGTCATTGGCAGTAAACACCTGCACCTCATCACCACGAGCACCTGTGTTGAACCTGGGCATATATTTACGATTAGAACGCACTGTGCCACACACATCTGTCTTGTTCACTCGCAAGAAATCACTGAGTAAAGGGCTTGTGTACCAGTTATCGGTATATAATGTATGCCCCTTACCAAGATAAGGTGCCATCATGCTTCTCACTACGTCACCTGAGATACCCAATAACATCTTGGTATCTTTCAATGTTTTACATCCCGTGTATACAACAATATCCAATACCAGGCCACTGTCACAGTCACAGAGTACAAACAGTTTCATACCAAAGCGTTTCCTCTTGCTCGGTATATACTGCTTGAACGACAGTCTACCTTTGAACAAAGTCAAAGACTCGTCAATTACAAGATTCTTGAATGGATAAAAGTACATGTTGAACTTTTGTTTCAGATACATAAAAACATTTCTAATCTTGTATAACCTGTCACTTCTGTCAGGCATGGTTTTGTCAGAGAAGTGCAACATATTAACAGTAAGATAAACCTGTTCGCTGGGATGATTTCACTGAAGACCGGGGTAGAAATTAGCCGATCTGTGGACCAGTATGCTTTTATATTATGCTTATAGACATGAGGCATAAGCATTATTGTTGCAAAAAGCAAAGACATTTCTGCAACAGTTGTCTCTTTCCACCGGTGTAGTCTTGACTGTGGTGATATGATCGTATTTGCCATGGTGTACTCAAAATACAGTGGACCCCCGGTTTATGGTATTATTTCATTCCAGAAGTACGTTCAGGTGCCATTACTGAACGAATTTGTTCCCATAAGGAATATTGTGAATTAGATTAGTCCATTTCAGACCCCCAAACATACACGTACAAACGCACTTACATAAATACACTTACATAATTGGTCGCATTGGGAGGTGATCGTAAAGCGGGGGTCCACTGTACTTGTTACTTTCCCTGACAATAGTTTCCATCAAGGGCTGGTCAAAGAATATTTCAAAGAATTCCAGTTCATTGGCCGTGGTTCCAAGGGGACAAGTAGGTAGAATTCCACTTTGAGAGTCATCAAAATTGGGATTTTGCTGCCAATCCCAGATACGGTTTGCTGGTGGATACTGGACATCATAGGCTGGTTGTGCGGGTAGTTGTGGTTGTGGTGGGCTGGTGGCTGACGCTCCGCTTTGTCCTTGAACTGAGGAGTCAGCAGTGTGGGTCCCAGCCTGGGCTGGTGAGTCACACATGGCTGTGGCACTACCATCACCACTACCACCACCTACTGATGCCTGTGATCTGTCCATGCCAAGTGTAGCCACATCATCCTCACTTTCACTGTCTGTTCCTGGTGTAGGGCCACGGGATGTACTCAGGGATGTACTCCGTCCCCTGGGCACTGCATAGGGAACACTACCCGAGCGCATGCGGTGGCGTACATACCAACGCTTCACTGGTGAATATGTTTCCTCACTATCACTACTCAAATGATCGTCAAGAGCAATAAAATCACAATCCACGTCACTATCATTATCATTACTGAAGTCAGAGGCCTGGCCACGCGAAAATAATAGTTTTCTCTTGCGATGAGGTACAACTGACCCTGACTGAGGCGTGCCCACACCAGAGGTAGAAGGTTAAGGAACGTCAGGGAAGATGGGAAGTACAGTGCCTGTATTCTGAAGGAGGGGTAGGAATATTGCAGTTTGGAGAGACATCTAAGCTGTAATGTCAGTGTGCCTCTCACAAGATGGTGAAGTGAGTGATGGTGAAAGTGTTTCTTCTTTTTAGGTCACCCTACCTTGGTGAGAGGCAGCCAGCGTGTTAAAAAAAAAGTATGAGACAAAAATAGAAAAGCAGAAGGTGCCCCACTTCATCTAGTCACTGCTGGTGTGAAAAAATGGGGAAAAATGTATCATATTGTGTTGAAAAATAACATGAAATTTACATGCAAGATGGGACTGGATAGAAGACATGGGCTACAACTACCTCTTCTAAATTAGTACTGTTTCTGTTTTACTACTCCACTTCTATGATTGTCCTGATGTAGCTGCTACAATATCAGGAATCCGTTGACTTCAGAGTATCTTATGTGTAGTATGCATATGACAGTCCATTTGGGTAATTTTAGAGTGCATTTAATGAGGGTTAGTGAGTGTCCAAGGTAACATCTCATTCTTGTTCTCTCTCACCATAGCCTATACCTTGCTGGTCCCTATAACATATTAGGTCTTAAAGGCTCTTACAGTTCCTGCTACTAGAGCATAGTGTGCAGTGGACCCCCGACATTCGATACATTCGATGCATTTTAATGCAAAAATTTTTCCTCGACATTCGATCGAAAACCCGCTATTCGATACGATTCATACGAGACATGTCCACATGTGGCCTGAACTGCCCCGTGTGTGCCAGTGTTTACAAGCCAGCCAATGGCGCACATCTAAAGATACATTCAGTACATTCCATATTATCCATATTATCACTGTTTTTGGTGCTTGTTTCTGCAAAATAAGTAACCATGGGCCCCAAGAAAGCTTCTAGTGCCAACCCTTCAAGAAAAAAGGTGCTAATGACTATTGAAATGAAGAAAGAAATAATTGCAAAGTACGAAAGTGGAGTGCATGTGTCGGAGCTGGCCAGGTTGTATAGTAAACCCCAATCAACCATCTCTTCTATAGTGAGCAGGAAAATGGCAATCAAGGAAGCTGTTGTTGCAAAAGGTGCAACCTTGTTTTCAAAACAGAGATCGCTAGTGTTAGATGTTGAGAGACTGTTATTGGTGTGGATAAATGAAAAACAGATGGCAGGAGATAGTGACAAAAGTCCAGCGACTCTCAAGCTGGTCCTAGTGGCATTAAAAGAAGGGAAGTAACCCCGGAAAAAGACTCGATACCTCAAGTCCTAATGGAAGGGGATTCCCCTTCTAAACACTAACACCATCCACACTCTCCCCTCCTCCCATCCCATCAATCATCACCAGATCTTCATTAAAGGTAAGTGTCAATTATTCTATTGTTATTAATCTATTGTTATTGTTGTTACTGTAATTATTCTATTGCATTAAACTTAATATTTCATGTGGTAAAAATTTTTTTTTCATACTTTTGGGTGTCTTGCACAGATTAATTTGATTTCCATTATTTCTTATGGGGAAAATTAATTTGACTTTCGATATTTTTGACATTCGATGAGCTCTCAGGAACGGATTAATATCGAATGTCGGGGGTCCACTGTATCCAGTTGAATCTTATACTTGCATAGTGCTATAACAGTGTTCACAAAAAAGCCTTTGCATACATTCATGTTGTATTTTCTACTCACAATTTTATTCTTTTGTTTCTAATTACTGACTTGTTCATAGTCTCTGCTTCCTAAGAGAAAAAAAAGGTTGTTTTTTCGAGTTAACTTTTTCATAAGGTTTGTTTCTGAGTGACAAATACCACCTAATTGAAATAGGATATACAGTAGTAAAAACACAGACCACATATAGGAAACTATGTATATAAATTAAAAGTGTTGAATGATGATGAAAGTGTTTCTTTATTTTTTGGGTCACTGCCTTGGTGGGAGACGGCCGATGTGCTAAAAAATAATAATAATAATAATTTGGAATTTTGTAATTCTTTAGCATCTATTCTTTCAAGAAATTCACAAGCATTTTCATACCAAGCCATAAATACAACAGCAGCAGTGAAAAAGAATTACCAAAGTTCCTATTCAAGAGCAACACTATGATCATCACAGTCATATTTCAGACTACAAGCAGCACATAGTAAGGGTTGTGAGAATAGTTGTAAACACCAAATTATCATCATTGAAGGGCTTCAGGAAAACCGGTTAGTTGGGCTTGAGTCCTGGAGGTGGGAAGTACAGTGCCTGCACTTTAAAGGAAGAGTTTGGGATATTTGCTGTTTGGAATGGCATCTGAGCTGTCATATTTGTATGCCTCTGCGAAGACAGCGATTATGTGTGAATGATAGTGAAAATGTTGAATGATGGGGAAAGCATTTCTTCCTTTTTTTGGGGGGGTCACCCTGCCTTCGTGGGAAATGGCTGACATGTTAAAAAAAATATTATGCCATTCTAATAAATATAAATTAGGATACTATATGTAAGACATGTTAAATTGTAGATACAGTATTTGCATAATTTCATAAGTATTTATCCAGCCTATTTCTGTTTCGTGTAATAAATCCATATTTAAGCCTATTTACTGTTTCTTTGCAGGGAAATCGTCAGCTTTTCATTTTGGCTGGTCAGAGAAATAAAGAATACCTGACAGATTTTTTCATGTACAATATAGACACAGATACAGTTAGCTACATAAGTGACGGGACACGCAAGGACTCATCTTCTGTTCCTGCTGCAGGCTTTACTCAAAAAGCAACCATAGATCCTCACCTTAATGAGATACATGTTTTATCAGTAAGTGGTTTGTTAATTTTTATCAGTGAGTGATTTGTTAATTTTATATGTACAACAAACCCTTGTACAAGGTAATTGCTAGGCTTCATGGAAAAAAAAATAGCCAATTTTTTTATACTCCACAGTTTTCCAAATTAAATATTCCCTCCTGACACTGGGTCACCTTAACATGGTGACACTTTCCCCACAGGGTGCTTGCCTAAGCCCCCATCATCTCTTTCGGCATAAGTGGTGGGGATACAGTATTTCCCTGTTTCGCCTAAATTTACTGATAGCTTATAACATGGAACTAATAGTGCCTGAAGGTTGCATCACATGATAATTATGTTTTGAAAAGTTTTACCTGCAAGAATGATTTGAGCACAACACTACCAAGTTAATCATGATTGTGTAAATTTAATAATGTTAGAAACAGAATATGCTTAAAGCACTGAATGACCGAAAGGTTCCATTCTTTGTATATACAATAAATAAAAAACATAATTTAATACAGTACTGTACATTTCTTACATCACATTCTTCCAGTCCTGACTTTCTGAAGATGAATATCGTGTAGAGGGGTGTTGAGTTAAGGTTACAGGGCTTGGGTGGAAAGTTGTGTTCTTGGACTGATGCTGCTGGAGAATCTTCAAACGTTGATGGTTAGGTTAGAAGAGCAAAGTATTCTGAAATGCTCTCTTATGCATATCTGCATTGTAGCATTCTTAGTTGATGGTGGAGCTCACAGCATAGTAGTAATGTATCAGTATAATAATGGTATACAAAACCAACAGGTAGATAAGTAAGGCAAATGTCTAACAGCTAGATATCTTTATTCCTAAGCATGTTGCCTACACAGTAATGTTTATTAGTTGAATACAGAGGTAGTGGATATGGAGACAGCAGAAGCAGTGGAGGGGTAAAGATGATGTGATCAGTCCATCAGCCTTGAAGAAGGTTGATGGACTGGTCACATCTTTACCTTTTCACTTCTGCTACTGTCTCCACATTCACCTCCTGTGTATTCAGCTGATGGAACCTACTGTGTAGGCAAAACATTTCGGAATAAAAATATCTAATTGTTGCACATGTCGTATCTATTCATGGTAGCAATGTGTTCAAGAACATTTTTTAAGCTACAACTTTTGGCTGTGTTGCAAATTACTTTCAATTACCATAGGCAAGCAGACTCTCTTGTAATAATTCTTTGAGTCTTTTCTCCTTTTAATGTAAATTAAGTTGTATATTATACAATATACTGTATATTTTTCAACCTTGGTTAGTTTATTGTTTATTTTATTCTGATACTGCGAGGAATAATACTGAAAAAAAAAAATTGGGGCCCACAATGGGTCTTTCACAGACTCTCCCCCCCCCTTCCACACTGGATAAACAGTTATATATTTTGGATGGTATACAGTACAGCGGTCCCTCATTTTTCGTAGTTAATCCATTCCTGGAGCTGCTACTATTAACGAAATCTACGATTTGCGAATAAATTTTCCCCATAAGAAATAATGTGAATACAATTAATCCGTTCCTAACACCCAGAAGTATTAAAACAAAAAATTTTTTACATGAAATATACATGTAGTTCATAAACAATACAATGGGAAATGATGAATGAAACATTAACAGCAAAACACTTACCTTTATTGGAGATTCTTCTTAGTGTATGGGAGACTGGAGGAGGAGAGAGAGTGGATTGTTTATAATTTGGAAGGGGAATCCCCTTCCAGCAACACCTCAGGTACCAATTGCTTTTCTGGGGTTGCTTCTCTTCTCTGTTTCTTAATGCCACTAGGACCACCTTGAGAGTCACTGGAGTCCTGTCTCGCAAAATAACTGTCCAGAGAGCTCTGTTTCTGGCGTCTCTTTAAAACTTCCCTAAAATGGGCCAAGACTTTGTCACTCTACATGTTGCCAACATGGCTTGCAACAACCTTGTCAGGGTGATGTTTCTCCATAAGCTTTCCATCTTACCCCACATAGCAAAAATCTCTTTAATTTCTGAAGAAGGCACCATCTTCCATCTCTCTTCCTCCTCTTCCGCAGCAAGATTCTGAGCTGCGATCTGTTGCTGTTCCTGCTGAAGCTCTTGCAGCTCCTCAGTGGTGAGCTCTTCATTGTGGTCTTCCACCAATTCTTCCACATCCTCCAAACTCACATCCAACCCCATGGAACTCCCCAGTGCCACAATTGATTTTACAACAGACATAGGCTCATCAGGGTCAGTCCCAAACCCTTCAAAATCCCTCTTGTTAACACAATCTGGCCACAATTTTCTCCAGGCAGAGTTCAAAGTCCTGGTAGTCACTCCCTCCCAAGCCATACCTATAAAGGTTATGCAATGGAGGATGCTGAAGTGTTCTCTCCAAAATTCCCTTAGGGTCAAGTGAGTGTCTGTGGTCACAGTCAAGCACCTGTGAAACATTGCTTTGGTGTAAAGTTTTTTAAAGTTTGCAATGACCTGCTGGTCCATGGGCTGGAGGAAAGGAGTGGTATTCGGGGGCAAGAACTTTACTATGATGAACCCAAACTCCTCGAAAATTAGGTCATCCAAGTTTGGAGGATGAGCAGGTGCACTGTCCATTACTAGCAGGCACTTGAGGTCCAATTTCTTTTCCAGGAGGTAATTCTTCACACTAGGGCCAAACACTTCATTGAACCACTCGACAAAAATTTCCCACGTGACCCATGCCTTACTATTAGATTTCCAAAACACACACAATTTACTCTTCATAACATTGTTTTTCCTGAACACTGGGATTTTCAGTAATGGCTTCACTTTGAAATCCCCACTAGCATTAGCACAGAACATTAGCGTCAGCCTGTCTTTCATAGGCTTGTGTCCTGGCATTGCCTTTTCCTCCTGTGTAATGAAGGTCCTCTTTGGCATTTTCTTCCATAAGAGGCCTGTTTCGTCACAATTGAACACTTGTTCGGGTTTCAGTCCTTCAGCCTCTGTGTACTCCTGGAATTCATGCACATATTTTTCAGCCGCCTTGTGGTCCGAACTGGCAGCCTCACCATGCCTTACCACACTGTGTATGCCAGTACAGTTCTTAAATCTCTCAAGCCAACCTTTGCTGGCCTTAAATTCACTTACATCACCACTATTTTCAGGCAATTTCTTTACCAGATCGTTGTGCAACTGCCTAGCCTTTTCACAAATAATCAAAGTCATAAGAGTATCTCCTGCTAATTGTTTCTCATTTATCCACACCAATAATAACTTCTGAACCTCTTCGAGTACTGGTGATCTCATTTTTGTCAGCATAGTTACCCCATTTGCAACAACAGAGTCCTTTATTTCCTTTTTCTTGGCCACTATGGACCATATGGTTGTGTAGGGTTACTTATACATCCTGGCCAGTTCAGCCGCACTTGTACCACTTTCATATTGTTCAATGATGTTTTTCTTAAATTCAGTCGTATTTCTCACCTTTACCACAGGCTTGGCACTAGGAGCTTTCTTTGGAGCCATGGTAGCTTATTTAGTACTTGCAAGCACTAAAATAAATGGAATATTATGAAATATTTCGCTGGAGCACATGAGGGGACCTTTGCTCACTGGTAAACAATGCCAGACTGGCTGCCGCCCCGGCTCACGCCGTGAGTACGCATCCCGGATGAACTACTACTTGCGAGTCAACCTATGAAAAGCGAGTCCATGTTTATACGAAAATACCCCTATGATTTCCGAAATCTATGATTGCCAAGAACTACGAAAAGCGAGGGACCACTGTAGTTTATATTCTACCAATGAACCTTTAGTTTACTGAATTTAATGTTTTCTCTTCTAGTTCCTGTCTACATACTTTTTTTTCTGATGGAAGGTTGTTATCCTTCTGTTTGACTACTGAAAATTATGTTTGATAATCAAAAATTATATTGATCATTCATTTTATTTAATGCTGATTTAGCCAAGGCATCAACTCTCCCATGTTCCCAGAGGCCGGTGAAAGAGGAAATTCACAAAAAATATATTTGTTGTGCTTTTGCAAGCTGGCTCACAGAGAAAGCACCTCTCACCCTCCAACTGTTAGAGATAAGAGAAGCCATTAGTAAAGATAGTCTGTGTTATGCTTTTGTGTGACCTATGACCTGTGTAAAGAATAAGGACTAGCTTCGTCAGGGACATACAAGTAAAACATTTAGGGGATGAAACATGGTAAAATAAAAAAGGAACAAGGGGAAATTAGGAATGGAAAAGCAGTATCAGTGAAAATAGTAATGTTAAGGTATAGAAAATTAGGAAAATCTCCAAATGGGACTGCATTTAAAGAATAGAACTATATTAGTAGGGAATGAGCCATGCCTCCCCCCTTTCCTTTTTTTTTTTTTTCTTTTCCAAGGAAGTTATTCCTTCGACAACCATGGCCAACCGATGTACAATATTACTTAAATTTATCATAACTAAGAAGTGAAAAGATCAGGGTTAACTTCTCTGATAAAAAGGACATTTGGTGATTGTATGTAAAGTCAGTGTTACAACAGTGTAACCATTTGTATTTTTTATTTCAGGGCCTTAGTAAAGATAAAGACAAAAGAGATGAAAACGTTCGGAATTCATTCTGGGTGTATGATATATCTCAAAACAAATGGTAAGTTTTGAATTTGATAATGCATTTTTTATTAAGTTACATTTTGGATTGCTTACTAAAATATGAACCTTCATTAACAAGAACAGGTGGGCCCTGCTTATACAGTAGGTTAGGTTCCAGGCTACCACTGTAAAGTGAAAATTGCTGTCAAGTGAAATAGTCTTTTTTCATTTTCAAATGCATATAAAAGTCTGATAACATGTTTACACTATCACATATTAAATGAGCATTAGAGCTAGGCCTAAAAAATACATATACAGTCCACACACACTTCTTCTTCTTCTTTCAACGTACCAGCCGTATCCCACTGAGGCAGGGTGGCCCAAAAAGAAAAACAAAAGTTTTTCTTTTCAAATTTAGTAATTTATACAGGAGAAGGGGTTACTAGCCCCTTGCTCCCGGCATTTTAGTCGCCTCTTACAACACGCATGGCTTATGGAGGAAGAATTTTGTTCCACTTCCCCATGGCGATAAGAGGAAATAAACAAATAAACAAGAACAAGAACTAGAAAGAAAATAGACGAAAACCCAGAAAGGTATGTATATATGTATATGCTTGTACATGTATGTTTAGTGTGACCTAAGTGTAAGTAGAAGTAGCAAGATGTACCTGAAATCTTGCATGTTTATGAGACAGAAAAAAGGACACCAGCAATCCTACCATCATGTAAAACAATTACAGGCTTCCGTTTTACACTCACTTGGCAGGACGGTAGTACCTTCCTGGGCGGTTGCTGTCTACCAACCTACTACCTATAGTCCACACACACTACTTACCTTAAAATATTTAATTTAGAAAGTCTGAATAAATGAAGAATGAGTATAATTGAAAACCGCTGCATTAATAAAACACCTGCTGTAAAGCAGGGGCTACCTGTAATTTATTCAGAAGTAAATGTTTATACTGAATATTATAAACTACAGTATTTATATTACTTGGCTGAAGTGCCACTGTGAGTACAGAGACAGATTAGAAAAATTGCTTATTTTTTGCAAATAATAAGGTTATTTGTGGATTATCATTATTATTATATTCATAGAGAAGCACTAAACATGTAGGGATCAAACAGTTTCAGGGTAATATGAAGCAGAATTGATCCAAGGAAGGGGATGATAGCTCCCATACCTTGGATTAAGAGCTCTTCTAGTATCAAGGTGTCTCCTTTAAAGGGAGTTATTAGTCGAGATTTATCCCCCTCCCAACTATGAAAAATATTGGCTGAGGTAAGTTGGGGGGGACACTAAAAAGTCAGAATTGATTGTAAATCTCTTTGGAACCATTCCTTATCCTCATCTATTTTTATTCTCCTCATTAGTTTTACATAATTATTAAGAGGGATTCTTCTGAATCAATCCCATCTGGAATGTCATTCACAGAAGCCTGAAATGGTATTGGTCCTAAGACCAATTCTTGTGGAACCCTGCTAGTTACTCTTCCAATTCTGACATCTCTGTCCTGACTATCATTCTTTGCCTCCTTATCCTAAGATACTCTTTGATCTTCCAGAGTATGTTCCCAGTTATTCTTGCCTAAATCTCAAGTTTTTGGTCCAGCCTCTTGTGAGGTACAGTATCAAATGCCTTCTTGAAGTCTAAAAAAATGCTGTCGACCTAACCATCTTTCTCTCTATTGTTGTACATCTGTTACACTGTCATAGAACACCAACAAGTTAGTATGAGAAGATTGGCCATCCTTAAAGCTATGCTGGTTATTGCTTATGAAACCACTTCTCTCCAAGTGTTCTACCTCTCTTCCCCTCAAGTTTCTCTATTACCTTGCAGGGTATGTATGCCAAAGAAATTGGTCTGTAGTTTAATGCCACCCATCTGTCTCCTTTCTTAAATAAAAGGGCTACATTTGCTGTCTTCCAGATCTCTGGTAACTGCCCCATATTCATTGATTTATTGTAGATCATGGCTAGTGGGTTAGACAATGCTTCTGCACCCTCTTGCAGAACCCATGATGACATATTGGCAAATCCCATTGTCTTTGATGTATCCAGGTCCATCAGGAGTTTCTTTACCCCTTTCCCTGTTGTGGGGATGTCATCCAGTACTTGTTGGTGCCTCCTGTTCTGATATTGCCCCAGTTTCCACTGAGAAGACCTCTTCAGATCACTTTATTAACACTTCACAGACTTCCTTGTCATTGTAAGTGAACTACTCTCCTTCCCTCCTTCCTCAGTTTGATTACTTGGTCCTTTACTATCACCTTTCTTCTGAAGATGTGCCTATGAAGCAGTTTCAGTTTGTATTTGACCTTTGCTGCCATGTCATTCTCAAATTGTCTCAGCCTCTCTCTTCACCCTACCATATTCATTTCTGGCCAATCTGCTCACTTCTGTACTCTCATCTGTTCTTTTCCTTCTATATTTTTTTTTCCACTGACACTTCATTTTTGCTTCCCCATATCTCTGGCCAAACCAAGGGCTCTTTTTGTCTTCATTTCTGCATCTTTTCGGTATGAAGGCCTCCTAAGCTTCCTCGAGTTTTCCAGCTAGGTACTCCATCATCTCATCCACTGACTTGCCTTCCAATTCACTGTCCCAATACAGTACATTAAGGAAGTCTTTCAAAACCTTCAGAATTCCCCCTTATAAAGTCTGGCATGTCATGCTCTCCACCTAATGTATTTCCCTTTACCTGTAACTCCACTAGGTACTCAAAGCTCAGAGCCACATGATCACTAGCACCCACAGGGCTCTCATATTGCATGTCACCTATGTCAGATTTAAGTCTTGCTAGCTCATCATCTCCTCTCCCTTTTCATGTCCTTAATGTGCTGACTCATAAAGCTTTCTCTAATCACTATCAGCTTAGCCCAACACGTTTCTGGTCCCCCATATGGGTTCTAGTTCTGCCAGTCTATTTCTTCCATTGTAAGTAGCTTCACTTATGCTTATAATTTTGGTGTTATCTATCCACTTCACCAGTCATGTGAAGAAGAAATTGGGGATTATTTTGAGTGTCATAATGATGTCTTTTTTTATTCAGGTCATGTATATACCGCAATGAGCAAACTGGAGAGTCTTACTGGAGTAAAATGCAGCATGTAGAGCCATGTCCTCGATTTGCTCACCAGTTAGTTTATGATGACACGAAAAAGGTCAGTACATAATGTAACTTAGTTTGTGTAAAATAACAGAAATGTTCTTTTTTTATTTTATTATCACACTGGCCGATTCCCACCAAGGCAGGGTGGCCTGAAAAAGAAAAACTTTCACCATCATTCACTCCATCACTGTCTTGCCAGAAGGGTGCTTTACACTACAGTTTTTAAACTGCAACATTAACACCCCTCCTTCAGAGTGCAGGCACTGTACTTCCCATCTCCAGGACTCAAGTCCAGCCTGCCGGTTTCCTTGAATCCCTTCATAAATGTTACTTTGCTCACACTCCAACAGCACGTCAAGTATTAAAAACCATTTGTCTCCATTCACTCCTATCAAACACGCTCACGCACGCCTGCTGGAAGTCCAAGCCCCTCGCACACAAAACCTCCTTTACCCCCTCCCTCCAACCTTTCCTAGGTCGACCCCTACCCCGCCTTCCTTCCACTACATTCTGTTTCGCTCCATTCTCTCTACATGTCCGAACCACCCCAACAACCCTTCCTCAGCCCCCTGGACAACAGTTTTGGTAATCCCGCACCTCCTCCCAACTTCCAAACTACGAATTCTCTGCATTATATTCACACCACACATTGCCCTCAGAGACATGACATCTCCACTGCCTCCAGCCTTCTCCTCGCTGCAACATTCATCACCCACGCTTCACACCCATATAAGAGCGTTGGTAAAACTATACTCTCATACATTCCCCTCTTTGCCTCCAAGGACAAAGTTCTTTGTCTCCACAGACTCCTAAGTGCACCACTCACTCTTTTTCCCTCATCAATTCTATGACTCACCTCATCTTTCATAGACCCATCCGCTGACACGTCCACTCCCAAATATCTGAATACATTCACCTACTCCATACTCTCTCCCTCCAATCTGATATTCAATCTTTCATCACCTAATCTTTTTGTTATCCTCATAACCTTACTCTTTCCTGTATTCACCTTTAATTTTCTTCTTTTGCACACCCTACCAATGTTCTAAGGTCTGTAAATCATTTTCAAAAGGAAACATTAAGAATGGAAACAAACTCTAATTTATATTCTTTAGCTGGGAACTTTATTGTTTCTTTAAATTGTAAGCAAAAATATTACCAATTTTTTACATTCATTGTGAATGTGTACAGTATGTATGCATAGTATATATGTTCTTCTTTCTTTCAATACACCAGCCATATCCAACTGAGGCGGGGTGGCCCAAAAGGAAAACCGAAAGTTTCTCCTTTTACATTTAGTAATACGTATATACATATATACACACTCATCTGAGTTTTCTTTGATTTTATCTTAATAGTTCTTGGTCTTATTACTTTTCCTTATACAGTGGACCCCCGCATAACGATCACCTCCGAATGCGACCAATTATGTAAGTGTATTTATGTAAGTGCGTTTGTACGTGTATGTTTGGGGGTCTGAAATGGACTAATCTACTTCACAATATTTCTTATGGGAACAAATTCGGTCAGTACTGGCACCTGAACATACTTCTGGAGAGAAAAAATATCGTTAACCGGGGGTCCACTGTATATCCATGGGGAAGTGGAATAAGAATCTTTCCTCCGTAAGCCATGCGTGTTGTAAAAGTCAACTAAAATGCCGGGAACAATGGGCTAGTAACCCCTTTTCCTGTAAAAATTACTAAAAAGAATAAGAATAAAATTGTCAAAGTGGGAAGTCTGAATGTGCGTGGATGCTGTGCAAATGATAAGAAAGAGATGATTGTGGATGTTATGAATGAGAAGAAGCTGGATGTCCTGGCTTTAAGTGAAACAAAGCTGAAGGGGGTGGGAGAGTTTCAATGGAGAGGAATAAATGGGATTAGGTCAGGGGTTTCAAATAGAGTTAGAGCTAAAGAAGGAGTAGCAATAATGTGAAGGATAGCTATGGCAGGAAAAGAGGGACTATAAATTTTTTTTAAATTTTCAAGGTTTTATGTGGAGTAAAATAAAGATTGGATGTGAAAAGGGGGTTTAATAAGCGTGTATGCACCTGGAGAAGAGAGAAGTGTAGAGGAGAGAGAGAGATTTTGGGAAATGTTGAGTGAATGCGTGGGGAGTTTTGAATCAAGTGTGAGGTAATGGTGGTTGGGGATTTCAATGCTAAAGTGGGTAAAAATGTTATGGAAGGAGTAGTAGGAAAAATTTGGGGTGCCAGGGGTAAATGTAAATGGGGAGCCTTTAATTGAGCTATGGGGTAGAAAGAGATTTGGCAATAAGTAATACATATTTTATGAAAAAGAGGATTAATATAACAAGGTATGATGTAGCACGTAATGAAAGTAGTTTATTAGATTATGTATTGGTGGATAAAAGGTTGATGGGTAGGCTCCAGGATGTACATTTTTATAGAGGGCAACTGATATATCGGATCATTATTTAGTTGTAGCTCAGTTAGAGTAAGAGGTAGATGGAAAAGAGGAAGTGGCAACAACAAGTAAGAGGGAGGGTGAAAGTGTATAAACTAAGGAGGAGGAAGTTGGGGTTTGAGATATAAGCGACTTTTGGCAGAAAGGTGGGCTAGTGCAAAGATGAGTAGGGGGGGGGTTTTGAAGAGGGTTGGAATAGTTTTAAAAAAGCAGTATTAAAATGTGGGGCAGAAGTTTGTGGTTATAGGAGGGTGGGGGCGGGAGGAAAGAGGAGTGATTGGTGGAATGAAGAAGTAAAGGGTGTGAAAAAAAGAGAAAAAGATAATTATGAGAGGTTTTTACAAAGCAGAAGTGTTATAAGAAGAGCAGAGTATATGGAGAGTAAAAGAAAGGTAAAGAGAGTGGTGAGAGAGTGCAAAAGGAGAGCAGATGATAGTGGGAGAGGCACTGTCAAGAAATTTTAATGCAAATAAGAAAAAATTTTGGAGTGAGTTAAACAAGTTAAGAAAGCCTAGGGAATAAATGGATTTGTCAGTTAAAAACAGAGTAGGGGAGTTAGTAGATGGGGAGATGGAGGTATTAGGTAGATGGCGAGGGAATATTTTGAGGAATTTTAAATGTTAAGGAAGAAAGAGAGGCGTAATTTCATGCATGGTTCAGGGAGGTATACATTTTTAGGAGTGAAGAAGAGCAGAATGTAAGTGTGGGGGAGGTACGTGAGGCATTACGTAGAATGAAGGGGGTAAAGCAGTGGAACTGATGGGATCATGACGAAATGTTAAAAGCAGGGGGGGGATATAGTGTTGGAGTGGTTGGTACTTTTGTTTAATATATGTATGAAAAGGGGAAGGTACCTAGGGATGTGGAGAGCATGTATAGTCCCCTTTTTATAAAGGGAAAGGGGACAAAAGAGACTGTAAAAATTATAGAGGAATAAGTTTACCGAGTATTTCCAGGAAAAGTGTACGGGAGGGTTTTTAATTGAAAGAATTAGAGGCAAGACAGAATGTAGGATTGCGGATGAGCAAGGAGGTTTCAGAGTGGGTAGGGGTGTGTAGATCAAGTGTTTACATTGAAGCATATATGTGAACAGTATTTAGATAAAGGTAGGGAAGTTTTTATTGCTTTATGGATTTAGAAAAGGCATATGATAGAGTGGATAGAGGAGCAATGTGGCAGATGTTGCAAGTGTATGGAATAGGTGGTAGTTATTAAATGCTGTAAAGAGTTTTTATGAGGATAGTGAGGGTCAGGTTAGGGTGTGTAGAAGAGAGGGAGACTACTTCCCGTTAAAAGTAGGTCTTAGACAGGGATGTGTAATTCACCATGGTTGTTTAAAATATTTTTAGATGGGGTTGTAAAGGAAGTAAATGTTCGGGAGAGGGGTGGGATTAAATTTTTTGGGGGAAACAAATTCAAAAAGGGAATGACACAGTTACTTTTGCTGATGATACTGTGCTTATGGGAGATTCTAAAGAAAAATTGCAGAAAGGGTTTGTGGATGAGTTTGGGAATGTGTGTAAAGGTAGAAAGTTGAAAGTGAACATAGAAAAGAGTAAAAGGGGATGAGGGTATCAAATGATTTAGATAAAGAAAAATTGGATATCAAATTGGGGAGGAGGAGTTATGGAAGAAGTGAATGTTTTCAGATACTTTGGGGGTTGACGTGTCAGCGGATGGATTTTTGAAGGATGAGGTTAATCATAGAATTGATGAGGGAAAAAAGGTGAGTGGTGCGTTGAGGTATATGTGGAGTCAAAAAACGTTTTTCTTGGAGGCAAAGAAGGGAATGTATGAAAGTATAGTAGTACCAACACTCTTATATGGGGTTGTGAAGCTTGGGTGGAAATTGCAGCAGCGAGGAGACGGTTGGAAGCAGTGGAGATGTCCTGTTTAAGGGCAATTGTGGTGTAAATATTATGCAGAGAAATTGGAGTGTGGAAATTAGGAGAAGGTGGGAGTTAATAAAAGTATTAGTCAGAGGGCAGAAGAGGGGTTGTTGAGGTGGTTTGGTCATTTAGAGAGAATGGTTTCAAAGTAGAATGACAGGGAAAAGCATATAAATTATAGGGGAAGGAAGGCGGGGTAGGGGTCATCCTCAAAAGGGTTGGAGAGAGGGGGGTAAAGGAGGTTTTGTGGGCAAGAGGCTTGGACTTCCAGCAAGCATGCATGAGCGTGTTAGATAGGAGTGAATGTAGACGAATGGTACTTGGGACCTGACGATCTGTTGGAGTGTGAGCAGGGTAATATTTAGTGAAGGGATTCAGGGAAACCGGTTATTTTCATATAGTCGGACTTGAGTCCTGGAAATGAGAAGTACTATGCCTGCACTTTGAAGGAGTGGTTTGGGATATTGGCAGTTTGGAGGGATATGTTGTGTATCTTTATATGTGTATGCTTCTAAACTGTTGTATTCTGAGCACCTCTGCAAAAACAGTAATAATGTGTGAGTGTGGTGAAAGTGTTGAATGATGATGAAAGTATTTTCTTTTTGGGGATTTTCTTTCTTTTTTGGGTCGCCCTGCCTCGGTGGGAGACGGCCGACTTGTTAAAAAAAAAAAAATACGTATATACAGGAGAACGGGTTACTAGCCCCTTGCTCCTGGCATTTTAGTCGCCTCTTACGGAGGAAGAATTCTGTTCCACTTCCCCATGGAGATAAGAGGAAATAAACAAGAACAAGAACTAGAAAGAAAATATGTATACATGTGAAATTGTTTCTATTTCAGGTCACCTTGCCTCAGTGGGTGACAACAAGTGTGTTAAAAAAAATGTAGAGTAGCCATCTTCCACTGAAGTAGTGGTGACCTGAGAAAAAGAGGAAACACTTTAACCATCATTTATTCAATCACTGTCTTGCTAGAAGTGTGCTGACAACGTTTTTTTAGTTGACCAACTGAAATATCCCCACCTCTCCTTCAGAGTACAGGCATTGTAATTACCTCCTCCAGGATCAGGTCAGGTTAACCAGTTTCCCCAGATCCTTCATAAATGTTATCTTGCTCACATTCCAACAGCACATCGAAACATAAAGACTGCTACTCACTCCTTTTAACAGCGCTTACACAAACCTGTATATGAATGTACATACATACGGTACATGCATGCATACATCTTTCAACAAACCAGCTGTATCCCACCGAGGCAGGGTGGCCCAAAAAGAAAAACAAAAGCTTCTCTTTTTAAATTTATTAATTTATACAGGAGAAGGGGTTACTAACCCCTTGCTCCTGGCATTTTAGTCACCTCTTATGACATGCATGGTTTACAGAGGAAGAATTCTGTTCCACTTCCCCATGGAGAATACATACATACATATGTACATAAATGCATACTTACCTAAAATAGAAATCCATGTGTAAGTTTGCTTTCAGTATTTTAAAATTACTGGAAAAAACATTTTCCCTCATATTAAGCTGTCCATCAACTGCATAGTTTCATGAATGTGATATATACTTTTCTAGGTTCACTACTTATTTGGCGGTAACCCAGGTAAAGCTTCTCTTCCCAAGATGAGACTGGATGACTTTTGGTCATTGAGGTTATGTCGTCCCTCAACACAACAGCTTTTACACACTTGTGTCCTCCTTATCCGGAAACACAGGTAAGTATGTACAGTATTCTTAGTACCTACAATTCATTCCATTAACCTTTTGAGGTATAAGAGTAGTTTCTTTCAGAAATTAGTGAATTATCATTGCTATGTAGTAAGACCCAAGATATTTTGCCCTGTGTTTAGCAATGTTAATTGTTTTCCTTGATATTTTCATAAATTGACCTACAGTATGTAATCTTCTTTGTTACTATATTGTAATAGATGTGCTGCTAATTTTTAAGGTGCAGTAACTATTTGTAAAACACAGGAAATTTGGTACAGTAGCAAATACAACACATTCTAGTTGTGTACACTTACAGTACGTACAGTGGACCCCCGTATATCGGCCAGTACGGATATCAGCCACTGCAGATATAAGCCAAATCGGATTTTGGACTCTTTTTTTTTTTTGGGGGCCAAAATTCTGTCCTGGATTTCAGAAATTGGCCGTATTAGACGCGTCCACCTGCCACGCCACATGCGTGAGTCAGTCTGGCTGTGTCTCTCGGTGAGAGAGCAACACTCCACGCATTCATCCAAACATTACGTCATAATCCATTTTTTATTTTGTGGTTGTTTATTGAGTGCGACTGTGAAATAAGCCACCATGGGCCCAAAGAAAGTTCCTGTGCCAGTCCTTTGTTAACCCTTCGAGGGTTTCTGCCGTACTAGTACGGCTTACGACCCAGGGTTTGTGACGTACTAGTATGCCTAAATTCTAGCGCCCTCAAATCTAGTGAGAGAAAACTGGTAGGCCTACATATGAAAGAATGGGTCTATGTGGTCAGTGTGCACAGTATAAAAAAAATCCTGCAGCACACAGTGCATAATGAGAAAAAAAACCTTTGACCGTTTTTTTGGAATGAAACAGCGACTTTGCACTGTATTTTCATATGGTATTTATTGTTGTACATTGGACCCTCAACCAGCGATATTAATCCGTTCCTGAGAGTTCATCGTTAATCGAAATAATCGTTAGTCAAGTTAATTTTCCCAATAAGAAATAATGGAAATCAAATTAATCCGTGCAAGACACCCCAAAGTATTGAAAAAAAAAAATTTACCACATGAAATATTAATTTTAATACACACAAACTGAAGAAGACATGCACAGTTACATGACACTTACCTTTATTGAAGATCTGGTGATGATTGATGGGATGGGAGGAGGGGAGAGCATTGATCTTCTTAGTGTTTAGAAGGGGAATCCCCTTCCATTAGCACTTGAGGTAGCAAGTCTTTTTCTGGGGTTAGTTCCCTTGTTCTTTTAATGCCACTAGGACTAGCTTCAGAGTCACTGGACTTCTGTTGCACAACATGTCTGTCCATAGATACCTGTACCTCTCGTTCCTTTATGACTTTCCTAAAGTGGTTCACAACATTGTCAGTGTACAGATTGCCAACACGGCTTGCAGTAGCTGTGTCAGGGTGATTTTCATCAATAAAGGTTTGCACTTCAAGCCACTTTGCACACATTTCCTTAATCTTAGAAGTAGGCAACTTCTTCAATTTCTCTATCCCCTCCTCCGAAGCAGTTTCCTCAGGTCTGCCCTCTTGCTGTTCAAGATGATCTAGCAGCTCATCAGTGGTTAGTTCTTCATTGTCCTCCACCACCAATTCTTCCACATCCTCCCCACTAACCTCCAACCCCAAGGACTTCCCCAATGCCACAATTGATTCCTCAACTGGCATAGGATTCTCAGGGTTAGCCTCAAACCGTTCAAAATCCCTTTTGTCTACACATTCTGGCCACAGTTTTTTCCAAGCAGAGTTCAAGGTCCTCTTAGTCACTTTCTCCCAAGCCTTACCTATAATGTTTACACAATTGAGGATGGTAAAGTGATCTTTCCAAAACTCTCTTAGTCAGTTGAGTTTCTGAGGTTACTAGAAAGCACCTTTCAAACATAGCTCTTGTGTACAGTTTCTTGAAGTTGGAAATGACCTGCTGGTCCATGGGCTGCAGGAGAGGAGTGGTATTAGGAGGCAAAAACTTCACCTTAATGAAGCTCATGTCCCTAGAAAGTGCTCTGCCAAGTCTGAAGGATGACCAGGAGCATTGTCTAATACCAGGAGGCACTTAAGGTCTAATTTCTTTTCAATTAGGTAATTTTTCACATTGGGGGCAAATGCATGGTGTAAAAAGTCATAGAAGAAGTCCCTAGTGACCCATGCCTTACTGTTTGCCCTCCACAGCACACACAAATTAGCCTTGACGACATTGTTTTTCCTGAACACTCTGGGAGTTTCAGAGTAATACACCAATAAAGGCTTCACTTTGCAATCACCACTAGTATTGGCACACATCAACAGAGTAAGCCTGTCTTTCATAGGCTTATGTCCTGGGAGTGCCTTTTCCTCCTGAGTAATGTACGTCCTGCTTGGCACCCATGGGACAAGTGGGGCGCGCTCAGGCCAAAGTGGACACTTCTTGAACGGAACGAATAGCGTTGGTCAGGCAAAATTTTTGCGTTAAAATGTATCGCTAGTCAGATTTATTGTTAATCGATGCCATCGCTGGTTGAAGGTCCACTGTATTCTAGTTTTCTTGGTCTCATTTTATAGAATGGAAGACATATTACAGAAATTGAGATGATTTTGACTGGGTTTACAATGAAAAGTACCTTGAAATTGAGCTCAAAGTAGCAGAAATGTTCGATTTTTACCAAAGTTCAAAAGTAAACAAATCATGCCAAGCGTCCAATACACGTCAACTGGTAAGTCTGATATTCTTTCGCAAGTGCGCCAATATTATTTATACCATTTTTTACACTAATGCAGTAGTCTGCATAACAGTAAATCTTCTATTTTTTGTGAGAATAAAAATTCAAAGTGGAAAGCAAAAGAACGTAAGAGGGGCCTTGAGACGTGACTAATGAACAGAGGAAATGTCATTTTAGTGCCAGGAATGTCTTTCTTGTTTATTCTGGATCCTATTCGGAAATTGGCATCTTTTGAAATTTGTGTGAAATTGGCAAAATTGCTAAATTCTGACCACTGTACTGGATAGTTGAAATTGATAAATGGGTGGTTTGTTGCACTGATTTGATAGAAAAAATAGAGTTCTAGTGAAATATTCATGTTTTTTGTCGACTAGTACAGTGGAATTGGCCGAAAATGGGGCTCAAATTGGGCAAAATCGTCGCTGCGTAAACATCGCCGAGACCGCTAACTTTGCGAGAGCATAATTCCGTAAGTTTTCCATCAAATTTCAAACTTTTGGTGTCATTATGATCAGGAAAAGATTCTCTATCTTTTCATAAGAGAAAATTGTTGTTTTTTTTTTTTTAAATTTGGCCGACCCTGAGAACGAGTCTCGGAGAGGGCCTGTCGACCCTCAAAGGGTTAAGAAAGTGAGAAACATGATAGAATTCAGTGACAAAACCTTGTCCCACTTCAGGCAAATCTTAGAGACGCCAGAAACAGACCTCTCTGAACAATTTTTTTGTGCGACAAAGGTGCAGTGACTCTCAAGCTGGTCCCAGTGCCAGTAGAAAACAAAGAAGGGAGGTAGCCCCAGATAGGGACTTGATACCTGAAGTCTTTACGGAGAGGGATTCCCCTTCCAAACAATAATCAGTCCTCCCTCTCTCCTACTCCCTGTCTTCCGTACGCCAACAAGAGTCTTCAATAAAGGTAAATTTGATGCTAAATGTTCATTTATCCATTTCATTAGTCATTTAGTTCTCATTGTTTTGTGTATGTAAAACTATAGTTAATCTTTAAAATATGCATTTTTTGTTAATATTTTTGGGTGTCTGGTACGGATTAATTGTATTTACAGTAATTCTTATGGGAAATGTTACTTTTGTTTTCGGCCTTTTCGGATTTAGGCCGACCTTCTGGAATGGATTATTGCTGAAATCCGGGGTTCCACTGTATCTACAACACAAGTTGTATGGTGCCACTTATTATCTAGAGGTGCATATTGTATCTACAACATAGGAGGTATAGTACCAAATGCTGTCTAGAGGTATAAATGTTACTTTTTTCTGTTATGCTTTTAACCCTGTTGTGACCCCGCAAAATTTAAAGTGCTGACAGTTTTAAAGATTAAAAAAAAATATTTTTTTTGAAATGGTAGAGAATCTTTTTCTAAAGGTAATGATACTAAAAATGCAAAATTTGATGGAATTACGTATGCACGAATTTGGTTGTCTTGGCGCAATATATGCATCAGTGATTTTGCCCACTTTGAGTCCTATTTTAAGCAGATTTAATTACTCAGTTTGATCAGTTTCCTAGCTATTTTACTAGTGGGCCTTTTGTTCTATCAAACAAAAGAAACTGCCCATTCAGTTATCAGGACTGTCCTATAAAGTGCACGGAATTTGGTAATTTGGCCAGTTTTACACAAAATTCAGCAGATTCCAACTTTGGAATAGAATCTAACATAATCACTGCAGGCAATCAGTCCACTGAGGCAACCTATCCTCTGTTTATTAATCACATTTCTAGGAGTGTTCTGTGTAACACTTACACTCCACTTTGAATTTATCATTGTACAAAAAATGAAGTTTTACCCAATTTCTAGAATTAATAAAATATAACCAAGAATGATTAACCATGGTTTAGGGCATCCCAATAATTGAAGGAGCCCTAGTAAAAATCTGTATGGGGCCATTAGCCTCTTACATAGGAGGTAGGTGGACCCTACTTTTCCTCATAAAAATTGCCAAAAATCTCACATTTCCCAACTGAAATCGTCTCTTATTTCAGTAACATATCTTCCAATCTAATTGATACCAAAAAACAGCTATTAAAATCATAAAAACTGTCTTAGAAAACACCTCAAAGAATAAAAAACCACCTTAGAAAACACCTCAAATATGCTGTTTTTAACCAGGCATAGATCAGTGGTTTGCTCTTTCCGTAATGCACTGCTTAGGGTGGGATTTTTTTGTGTTCACACTCACTGCCCAGTGTTAATTATATTTAATTTGTTCTTTTATCATTTTTTCCTATCATGTTTTTGTGGCTTTTTTTTTTTAACCCTTTGACTGTTTCAGGCCCCTCTCTGAAACTGTCATTCTATGTCGCTCAATTTTTGAAAAAAAAAAAATTATTTTTTCTTATGAAATGATAGAGAATCTTTTCCCGATGGTAATGACACCAGAAGTTCGAAATTTGGTCGAAAACTCATGGAATTATGCTCCCGCGAAGTTAGCGGTCTCGGCAACATATGCGTATCGGCGATTTCGCCGACTTTGAGCCCTATTTTCAGCCAATTCCTTCTTTCCAGTTGACCAGACACATAGCTATTTCTTTAGAACTCCATTTTATCTATCAGCTGAGTACAAGAAACCTCCCATTTACTAATTTGGACTACCCAATATGGTGGTCAGAAATTGGCAATTTGGGCAATTTCACACAAACTAAAAAAGATGCCAATTTCAAAATAGGGTCCAGAATAAACAAGGTAGACATTCGTGGCACTAAAATAACATATGCTCTGTTCATTAGTCACATCTCTAGGCCCCTCTTATATTATTATTGCTTTCTATTTTGATTTTTTTATTCATACAAAAAAATACAAAATTTACTGTTATGCAGACTACTGCATTATTGTAAAAATGGTATAAATAATATCAGTGCACTAGTGAAAAAATATTAGACTCCCCAGTTGACGTGTATTGGACGTGTGGTGTGATTTATTTACTCCTGAACATTGGTAAAAATCGAACATTTCCGCTACTTTGAGCTCAGTTTCAAGGTCGTTTTCATCGTCATAGTAATGAAAATCATCTCTATTTCTGTAATATGTTTTCCATTTTATCACCTAAGACCATGAAAACGCGAATACAACGATAAATACTATACGAAAATACACCTCAAAGTCGGCATTTTATTCCAAAAAAACGATCAGAGTTTTTTTTTTCTCATTACGCAATGTGTGCTGCAGGATTTTTTTTATGTGGTGCACACTGACCACATAGACCCATTCTCTCACATGTGGGCCTACCAGCTTTCTCCCACTTGATTTGAAGCCGCTAGAATTTTTTTTTTTTTTTTTTTTTTTTTTTCAACAAGTCAGCCGTCTCCCAAGTCACCCGCTAGAATTATTGAGTATATATACGTCAGAAACATTGGCTCGTAAGACGTATTTATACGTCGAAAACAGTCACAGGGTTAATCTTACAAGCATGTTAATGTAATTCACATTATTTCTTATGAGAGAATGATTTTTCTTTAAGTGATTTTTGTTTAACACACTTTTTTCACAGAACCAATTACAAATGCTAACTGGGAGTGCCTTCTTAAATTATGTATTGGGTAAAGAATTGGCATGACATAAATTGGGGGCGTGCCACAGTAGCACTATCAGCAGTATCGGCTAATTTTGATGGTATCAGTATCTGTGATATTGAGCATAGGTATTAGTACCAGTATTGGCCAATGTTATTGGTATCAGTATTAGTAGCAGTGGTAATAAAAGAGAAGAAGTACTAAGCTTTGAAAATTCACCTAGGTAATAATGGGAAAGACCAAAAATGCACAATACCAAGACTGGAGCAATACACAAATAACCCACACATAGTAGAGAGAAGCTTGTGGTGATGTTTCAGTCCATCTTCGACCATCTACAAGTCACACTAACACATGAGAGTGAGGGAGCCAGTATATAGGCGAAGAGGACAGGGATGGGACAAAGAAAGGAAGTAGTAGAAGGTAGGGGTAGTAGTTTTAGTAGCACTAGAGACAGACTGGGGAGTGAAGGGAGGCAATAGTAGTGGTAGTAGTATTAGTGATAGTAATAGTAGTAGTAATGGAGTGATAGTCATACTAGCAGAAGTAGAAGTGGAGTAAGTCTGAGAACAAGAAAAAGGAGCACTGCAGGAGAGCTAATGGCCCACAAGGGGTAGGACCAAAAATGGGGGTTGAAAAAAATGAAGTACAGAACACCTAAGCAGAAGAAAGGAAGACAGAAATAAGGAAGGAGAAGAGGTAGGGAGAGGAGGAGAAGAAAAGATCAGGTCAAGTAAAAAGTCTTCTGAGGTTTGAAGCATTTGACAATGTAATGACAAAGGAATGCATCTACAGAGACAAAGCCAGGACCAAGATTCATATTAGGAAAGTTGTGTATAAGGGATGCTTCAACAAGACGGCAACTGTGATGGCTAGAAGAGTAGACAGTTTTAGCAGAGGACCAGTCAGTAGGATGGCTCTGATCTCTAACATGACAGAAAAGGGCATTATTGGTGTCGGCAAGTCTAACACTACTTTTGTGTTCTTTAAGTCTGTCAAAAAGAGAGTAGCATGTTTCTCCAAAGTATTGAAGAGGACAAGAGAAGCAGGAAATAGAGTAGACTCCAGAGGCATCAATAGCAGGGAAAGTATGAGCTAGTTTACTGCAAAGGCTGTTAGTTTGGCGAAAAGTAAGTTTGATGTCTAAGGAACGGAGAGAATTGTTGAGATTAGAAAGACTGGAAATGTATGGAAGGCAGAGAACGGGAGAGTTCACAGGAGTAGAGAGTTTGGGAGACAAGAAAGTCCGTTTAGCATGGGAGGGTAGCCAAGACAAGAGAACGAATTGTGAAGAGTGGAAATTTCTGAGTCAAGGAACTGAGAGTCACAAATGCAGAGGGCAGCTCTCTTATGTGCTGGTTATTTGTGAATGGAGGGAGAATGCCACAACGATAGAGCTTTTAAAATGCTCTCAAAAAGGTAGAGATAAAATTGTAGCTATATATATACAGAAAATGTCTTCCATGGAAAAGTAAGTGAATATTTGAAAATGTTAATTATTTTAGACTACAAAGAAAAATGGAAATAAGAAGGAATACAACTAATAAAGGGAGCATGTAGTATATACACTTTGATTCTCTGTGTTAAGTATATAACAGACTTCTATCATTCAAAGGAAACTGGAAGGATGTATGTAATAAAGGTCTTTTATTAATTTTTCTTAAGAGCTTTCAATAAGAACCAGAAATTGTATTAATGATTATCTAGTGTGTAATTGCATTTTACATTTTTATTTCAGGTTTAGTGAATTAGCTCGGGATAACTCAGTACTAGCATTGAAGTATCTTCAAACTAAACTTCACAGTGCTGTTGACCATTCTGACCCACAACAAGTCCAAGAATTCCAAGCTCTTGCCACAACTCTGTTTCAGCCCCACGAAGACTCAATATTTGGTCAAGGACATTCCTTATCAGAAGATGAAGACAGCAGTTCAAACTTGTTTGGCACTGATCTGGGGTGGCAGCACAGTACTCGTTCACAGTTGTTTGATCAGCTAACTCAGTTTTTCCCTGAGCACATGACGCAACCTAGAGGAAACTTGGTCGACCTAATACCTTACTGATCAACGTCACTCTTGATATATCTTGAAGAAAAGGTAGTACTCACAATTGTGGCATATTCCTATTTTATGTAACAACCAAAACTAGAATTCTTGCCCTGTAGGCTAGTAATATATTCACTGTTGCCTGTAAAACTAGAATTTAAAAACTCTTGATTTTTTATTTTTTATTTGTCTTAAAAAGTCATGAGAATATTGAGCTTCTGTAAGTTTTCTTCAAGTAACATATTTGTGCAAATCTAGTTGCTGTATAAGGTACATTAAGCACACTATGAAGTACAGTATCAAAATTACATTACCTCTTCTCTTTTTCTTAAATATATTATGTATTTGTTTCCTCTAAAAATCTAAGTATAATTTTTCTTAAATTTTTTTTTAACAATTGTTTAGCTGTAGATGTGAGTGTTTTACACCACACACACACATGCACACACACACACACAAATTTAATTATGCAAACATAATTGTGCTTACACCAATGTATACATATATTAACATATACATTAGAACACTTTTGTATTGCTGTTAGAATGTAAATAATATCTTTGTTTTTGGTGTGTGAGACATGTTGAAGACAGTTCTCTAGTTACCCATGATAAATTTCTGTGCATTTACTTCCAGTGAATTTTTCCTTAAGTGAGATCTTATGTATATAATAGACAGTCCCTCCTTAACAAAAGGGTTGAATTTCAAGAAACGAGTTTACAGTGAATTATCTGTTTCTATACATTTCTATTATGTCAATTGAGGTATGTGCCAGGTAAAGGAATGTGTTGTCCCAAAAATGTAAGAAAAGGAAGTATTAACCAAGAAATATAAAAATTACTTAGTGCTGTAGATATTAACATTCACCTGAGATGGAAAAGAAAGCTGCATATCAAGGCTTGGTGGTGAAACTTGAAGGTTGAGTGCAAGTTGGAGGTAAGTAGATGGCATAAAATATTCGGTTTTGTTTTAAAGCAATGCCCTTCCTATTAGTTTTTGTAACACTACATTTCTCATCTCTCAGAGGCCTCTTGCAATTACTTTGGGAAGTTGGAATGCAAATTAACTTCACCTTTGGAAAATGCTATTGTAACACACGCAACCACTTAAGTGGGAACGAATGGATTTGTCAGTTAAAAACAGAGTAGGGGAGTTAGTAGATGGAAAGCTGGAGATATTGGGTAGATGGGCAGAATATTTTGAGGAACTTTTAAATGTCGACGAAGAAAGGGAGGTGGTAATTTCATGCACTGGCCAGGGAGATATACCAACTTTTAGGAGTGAAGAAGAGCAGGATGTGAGAATGGGGGAGGTGCGTGAGACATTACGTAGAATGAAAGGGGGTAAAGCAGCTGGAACTGACGGGATCATGAAAATGTTAAAAGCAGGAGAAGATATAGTGTTGGAGTGGTTGGTATTTTTGTTTAATAAATGTATGAAGGAGAGGAAGGTACCTAGGGATTGGCAGAGAGCAAGTATAGACCCTTTATATAAAGGGAAGGGGGACAAAAGAGATTGTAAAAATTATAGAGGAATAAGTTTACTGAGTATACCAGGAAAAGTGTATGGTAGGGTTATTATTGAAAGAATTAGAGGCAAGACAGAATGTAGGATTGCGGATGAGCAAGGAGGTTTTAGAGTGGGTAAGGGATGTGTAGATCAAGTGTTTACATTGAAGCATATATGTGAACAGTATTTAGATAAAGGTAGAGAAGTTTATATTGCATTTATGGATTTAGAAAAGACATATGATAGAGTGGATAGGGGAGCAATGTGGCAGATGTTGCAAGTGTATGGAATAGGTGGTAAGTTACTAAATGCTGTTAAGAGTTTTTATGAGGATAGTGAGGCTCAGGTTAGGGTGTGTAGAAGAGAGGGAGACTACTTCCCAGTAAAAGTAGGTCTTAGACAGGGATGTGTAATGTCACCATGGTTGTTTAATATATTTATAGATGTAGGTTGTAAAAGAAGTAAATGCTAGGGTGTTTGGGAGAGGGGTTGGATTAAATTATGGGGAAACAAATACAAAATGGGAATTGACACAGTTACTTTTTGCTGATGATACTTTGCTTATGAGAGATTCTAAAAAAAAATTGCAAAGGTTAGTGGACAAGTTTGGGAGGATGTGTAAAGGTAGAAAGTTGAAAGTGAACCTAGAAAAGAGTAAGATGATGAGGGTATCAAATGATTTAGATAAAGAAAACTTGGATATCAGATTGGGGAGGAGGAGTATGGAAGTAGTGAATGTTTTCAGATACTTGGGAGTTGATGTGTCAGCAGATGGATTTGTGAAGGATAAGGTTAATCATAGAATTGATGAAGGAAAAAAAGGTGAGTGGTGCATTGAGGTATATGTGGAGACAAAACATTATCTATGGAGGCAAAGAAGGGAATGTATGAAAGTATAGTAGTACCAACACTCTTATATGGGTGTGAAGCTTGGGTTGTAAATGCTGCAGCGAGGAGGCGGTTGATGGCAGTGGAGATGTCCTGTCTAAGGGCAATGTGAGGTATAAATATTATGCAGAAAATTTGGAGTGTGGAAATTAGGAGAAGGTGTGAGAGTTAATAAAAGTATTAGTCAGAGGACTAAAGAGGGGTTGTTGAGGTGGTTTGGTCATTTAGAGAGAATGGATCAAAGTAGAATGACATGGAGAGGGTATAAATCTGTAGGCAAGGAAGGCAGGGTAGGGGTCGTCCTCGAAAAGGTTGGAGGAAGGGGGTAAAGGAGGTTTTGTGGGCGAGGGGCTTGGATTTCCAGCAAGCGTGCGTGAGTGTGTTAGATAGGAGTAAATGGAGACGAATGGTATTTGGGACCTGACGAGCTGTTGGAGTGTGAGCAGGGTAATATTTAGTGAAGGGATTCAGGGAAACCGGTTATTTTTACATAGCCGGACTTGAGTCCTGGAAATGGGAAGTACAATGCCTGCACTCTAAAGGAGGGGTTCGGGATATTGGCAGTTTGGAGGGATATGTTGTGTATCTTTATACGTATGTGCTTCTAAACTGTTCTGTTTTGAGCACCTCTGCAAAAACAGTGATTATGTATGAGTGAAGTGAAAGTGTTGAATGATGGTGAAAGTTTTTTCTTTTTGGGGATTTTCTTTCTTTTTTGGGTCACCCCTCCTCGGTGGGAGACGGCCGACTTGTTGAAAAAAAAAAATATGTACATATATGTATGTATGTATGTATGTATGTATGTATATATATATATATATATATATATATATATATATATATATATATATATAGGTAGTAGGTTGGTAGACAGCAACCGCCCAGGGAGGTACTACCGTCCTGCCAAGTGAGTGTAAAACGAAAGCCTGTAATTGTTTTACATGATGGTAGGATTGCTGGTGTCCTTTTTTCTGTCTCATGAACATGCAAGATTTCAGGTACGTCTTGCTACTTCTACTTACACTTAGGTCACACTACACATACATGTACAAGCACATATATACACACCCCTCTGGTTTTCTTCTATTTTCTTTCTAGTTCTTATTCTTGTTTATTTCCTCTTATCTCCATGGGGAAGTGGAACAGAATTCTTCCTCCGTAAGCCATGCGTGTTGTAAGAGGCAACTAAAATGCCGGGAGCAAGGGGCTAGTAACCTCTTCTCCTGTATATATTACTAAATGTAAAAGGAGAAACTTTCGTTTTTCCTTTTGGGCCACCCGCCTCGGTGGGATACGGCCGGTGTTTGAAAGAAAGAAAGAATATATATATATATATATGTATGTATGTATGTATGTATGTATGTATGTATGTATGTATGTATGTATATGTAGTTCCGAATATGTAAAACTGGTCAATTAGCAAGAACTCATTTTAAATTAAGTCCTTTCTGAAATTTTCTCTTATACGTTTAAAGATATACGTATATTTTTCATTAATGTTAATGTAACAATTTATTTTAGCCTAACCCAACTAAATATATTTTAAATACGTTTACAATAATTTAGTACTAAACAAACACAATCAAATACATTTTTTTCGTTAGGTTCAGAATGATTTTGGCGAAATTATTGCATGCACAAATTTTCACTTGTCCTATATGGCAAGATGAGCGTTGCTATTTAAGCCAAGATCACAAGTTCTGCTTATTCGGCACGACATATGTACAGTGGACCCTCGTCTAACGAACGCATCGCATAACCTTATGTCCACCTAACGAAGCGTTTGAGTGTAAAAATTTTGGCCCGCTTAACGATAAAAAACTCGCCCAACATGATTCCTCCCAAACCTGTCCGTCCAGCCTGAGTGCCTCAGCTGCCTTGCCGTCATTGTTTACAAGCCAGGGTGGCCGGTTGCATGCATACATTCGATACATTTTGTATTCCATTGTTTATAGTGCTTGTAACTGCTAAATAAGCCACCATGGGCCCAAAGAAAGCTTCTAGTGCCAGCCCTGTGGTAAAAAGGGTGAGAAATACATCCTACTGAGTCAGGTGTTTGGCTTGACCAGTCGCTGCACCACCATCAGCTGTTAGCTGCACCTGTGGTAACAAAGGTGCTGTGTCTTCCCACCAGTCAGCTGTTGCTGCACACCATCGTGTGCTGGACCAGTAGCTGTTGCTGCACCACATGTCAGGCTGCTGCTGCACCAGGTCAAGCTGCTGCACACAGCCAGCTGCTGCTGTACACAGTCAGCTGTGCTGCACCACAGTCAGCTGCTGCTGCTGCACCACAGGTCAGCTGCTGCTGCTGCACCACAGTCAGCTGCTGCTGCACCACAGTCAGCTGCTGCTGCACCACAGTCAGCTGCTGCTGCACCACAGTCAGCTGCTGCTGCACCACAGTCAGCTGTAAAGTAAAAGGACACAAGTGCAACTAATGTGACATTTATTGTGGCAACGTTTCGCTCTCCAGGAGCTTTATCAAGCCATTACAAACAATACATGGACACAGAGGGTATATAAAGGCTCAGAGTGAGGTGAATACTAGTGAGGTACCATTTCGATGTTCACTAGTGGTAGTAGTAGTAGTAGTAGTAGTGGTGGTAGTGACAACAGTAATACAATATGGTAGAGCAATTAATACTACCACTAGTGAACATCGAAATGGTACCTCACTAGTATTCACCTCACTCTGAGCCTTTATATACCCTCTGTGTCCATGTATTGTTTGTAATGGCTTGATAAAGCTCCTGGAGAGCGAAACGTTGCCACAATAAATGTCACATTAGTTGCACTTGTGTCCTTTTACTTTACATATTGTCGGTAATTCTACCAACTTTATTACACCACAGTCAGCTGCTGCTGCTGCACCACAATCAGCTGCTGCTGCAATCAGCTGCTGCTGCTGCACCACAGTCAGCTGCTGCTGCTGCACCACAGTCAGCTGCTGCTGCACCACAGTCAGCTGCTGCTGCACCACAGTCAGCTGCTCCTGCACCACGTTCAGCTGCTGCTGCACCACGTTCAGCTGCTGCTGCACCACAGTCAGCTGCTGCTGCACCACAGTCAGCTGCTGCTGCACCACAGCCAGCTGTTTCTGACTAATATGACTTGTCCTGAACCTGTCCATCCAGCCTTGCCGTCATTGTTTACAAACCAGGGTGGCCGGTTGCATGCATACATTCGATACATTTTGTATTATTCCATTGTTTATAGTGCTTGTAACTGCTAAATAAGCCACCATGGGCCCAAAAAAAGCTTCTAGTGCCAATCCTGTGGTGAAAAGGGTGAGAAATACTATCGTACCACAGTCAGCTGCTGCTGCACCACCGTCAGCTGTTGCTGGATCAGTCAGCTGTTGCTGCACCATGGTCAGCTGTTGCTGGACCAGTCAGCTGTTGCTGGATCAGTCAGCTGTTGCTGGACCAGTCAGCTGTTGCTGGATCAGTCAGCTGTTGCTGCACCATGGTCAGCTGTTGCTGGACCAGTCAGCTGTTGCTGCACCACGGTCAGCTGTTGCTGCACCACGGTCAGCTGTTGCTGCACCACGGTCAGCTGTTGCTGGACCAGTCAGCTGTTGCTGGACCAGTCAGCTGTTGCTGGATCAGTCAGCTGCTGCTGCATCACAGTCAGCTGCTGCTGCACCACAGTCAGCTGTTGCTGCACCACCATTACCTGTACTACTCAAAGATGTGGAGAGAGTGTTGTTGGTGTGGCTTAACGTGAAACAATTACCGAGAAACGATTAACCTCAGAGGGTTAGCCACCCAGGATAACCCAAGAAAGCCAGTGGATCATCGAGGACTAACTTATTTCCATTGGGTTCCTTTGTCTTGTCCCCCAGGATGCGACCCACAACAGTCAACTAACACCCAGGTGAACAGGAAAAAATGCCTGGAACTAGTGCACATATTGGTGAATTAAAGGCCAGCAAAGGTTGGTTTGAGAGATTTAAGAATTGTAGTGGCATACACAGTGTGATAAGGCATGGCGAAGCTGAGAAATTCATCTCCCAACAAGTGTTCAGTTGTGACGAAACAGGCCTGCTCTGGAAAAAAATGCCAAACAGGACCTACATTACTCAGGAGGAAAAGGCACTCCCATGACACAAGCCTATGAAAGACAGGCTAACTCTCATGTTTTGTTGTAATGCTAGTGGGGATTGCAAAGTGAAGTCTTTACTGGTGTATCACTCTGAAAATGCCAGTGTTCAAGAAAAACAGTGTCTCATCATTCATCAGTGCTCTTCAATAAAGGTAAGTGTCATTTTAACATTTATTTATGTAGGTATTGTGCATGTCTTATTGTTTTCTTTGTAGGGAAAAGTATATCTCATTAAAAAAAAAAATTTTTTTAATACTTCTGGCTGTCTGGAACGAATTAATTGGATTTCCATTATTTCTTATGGGGAAAATTAACTCGGCTAACGATAATTTCGGCTAAAGATGAGCTCTCAGGAACGGATTAATATCGTTAGGCGAGGGTCCACTGTATATAGTATATATTTTTTTAACAAGTCGGCCGTCTCCCACCGAGGCAGGGTGACCCAAAAAGAAAGAAAATCCCCAAAAAGAAAATACTTTCATCATCATTCAACACTTTCACCTCACTCACGCATAATCACTGTTTTTGCAGAGGTGCTCGGAACACAACAGTTAAGAAGCATATACGTATAAAGACACACAACATATCCCTCCAAACTGCTAATATCCCATACCCCTCCTGTAGAGTGCAGGCATTGTACTTCCCATTTCCAGGACTCAAGTCCGGCTGTACAAAAATAACTGATTTCCCTGAATCCCTTCACTAAATATTACCATGCTCACACTCCAACAGATTGTCAGATCCCAAATACCATTCGTCTCCATTCACTCCTATTGAACACGCTCGTGGACGCCTGCTGAAAGTCCAAGCCCCTCGCCCACAAAACCTCCCTTACCCTTTCCTTCCAACCTTTTTGAGGACGACTCCTACCTCGCCTTCCTTCCTCTACAGATTTATATGCTCTCCATGTCATTCTACTTTGATCCATTCTCTCTAAATGGCCAAACCACATCAACAACCCCTCTGACTAATACTTTTATTAACTCCACACCTTCTCCTAATTTCCACACTCCGAATTTTCTGCATAATATTTACACCACACATTGCTCTTAGACAGGACATCTCCACTGCCTCCAACCGTCTCCTCGCTGCAGCATTTACAACCCAAGCTTCACACTCATATAAGAGTGTTGGTACTACTATACTTTCATACATTCCCTTCTTTGCCTCCAGATATATATATATATATATATATATATATATATATATATAATATATATAATATATATTCTATCTTTGCAAAAAAGTCTCACTCAGAAAACAAAATTAAATGTCACTAAGAGGTGCTAGCACTTAGATAGTTAATTATCAATTTTACTACAGTAGTAACTTTATTTGCCATTGAGTAATAGCTGTGTGTTTAGTGACTTGGAAAACAAAATGAAGTAAACCAGACCTTAATACAAATGAGTATGTAATACATGTACTATATAGTTTCCTCTACAGCAGACAGGCCAACCATACTGTGATTGTATATGGTTTCCACTGTAGCATGCAGGCCAGCTATGATGTAAATGTATATGGTTTCTTGTACAGCAGACAAGCTAACTATGCTGTGAATGTATATGGTTTCCACTACAGCAGACAGACCAGCCATGCTGTGGTGTGTATGGCTTCCACTATATAATACAGGCCAA